CCACCTATGCATCTCTACTTCTCATAGTCTGACATTCCTCAATCAACCCTTCACATCTATCCATGGCTGCTTCACAGGACACATCACATGAATGCAATGACAGCCAAACGTTTAACGCAAAAGGGTGACAAGCTTATGTGTATAATGAAGAGTTCACAAGCCCTCGCCTTCTATCAACGAGGTGTGGCGCAGGACGAAGGGCAAGCTCAAACTGTTGCCTTGTCTTATTAATACACATGTCGTCTTGTAGTTATAGTTACCACGTAGGTGTTGTTGTCTTGTGGTTATAGTTTAACACGTTGGTGTTGTTGTCTTGTGGTTATAATTTAACACATAGGTGTTGTTGTCTTGTGGTGGTATGGTTATAGTATCTACATTGTTGTTGTTGTCTTGTGTATTGGTATGGTTATAGTTTACACGTAAGCGTTGTTGTCTTGTGGTTATAGTTTAACACGTAGGTGTTGTTGTCTCGTGGTTATAGTTTAACACGTTGGTGTTGTTGTCTTGTGGTGGTATGGTTATAGTAGACACATTGTTGTTGTTGTCTTGTGTATTGGTATGGTTATAGTTTACACGTAGGTGTTGTTGTCTTGTGTTATTATGGCTATAGTATACACATAGATGTTGCTGTCTTGTGGTGGTATGGTTATATACACATAGTTTTTGTCGTCTTGTGTTGGTTAGAATATAGTCTACACATAGATGTTTGCGTGTATTATGGCTGCGGTTGAATTAAAGTCAGAGCTTTGCGTGCTCGAGATACATATGAACATTTGAACCATTATCTCTCTGATATATTGTAACCGGTGACGAGAGCATATTCACACGGTACACATGTACAGATGTTTGATTGTGTAGGTATATTATCCAACCAATCTTTATTTCTGATTGGGTGATGGTTCTGTACTGAGTTCAGACCCAACACTATCTCAGTCGACTTGGCTATATGTCAATCGCTGGTTGTCTCTTGACTCCTCTGCTTTCTCGATTGTTATCCCTAATTTGTATTCTTATCTGTACGTATATTTTTGCAGCACAAACAATACTGCCAGGGTGCGAAGTTATCCCTAATTTGTATTTACGTATTCATCTTCTCCGTACGTATATACCTCCACAGCACAAACCATACAGCCAGGGTGCAAAGACATCGCCCGGAAAATAAGAGAGGTCAAATTAGAACTCAAGTATAACAAAGACGACACCTCCGATGTCGACTACGACCCTGAAGAAGACGTATCTTTCTACAACGACGATTCGTTTATTGAGGAGATTACGTATGTGTGCACCTACTTGCATGCATGCATGTCTCTCTCTCTCTCTCTGTGTGTGTGGATATAAAGTGCTCATGTACGTACATGCATGCCTAGGTGTCAGTGTATGTGTGGATATATATGTAGTTAAGTGAAGTGCTCATGTACGTACATGCATGCTTCAGTATCAGTGTATGTGTGGATATATATGTAGTTAAATGAAGTGCTCATATACGTACATGTATGCTTAAGTATCCGTGTATGTGTGGATATATATGTAGTTAAGTGAAGTGCTCATGCACGTACATGCATGCTGAAGTATCAGTGTATGTGTGGATATATATGTAGTTAAGTGAATTGCTCATGTACGTACATGCATACTTGGTGGATATATATGAAGTTAAGTGAATTGCTCATGTACATGCATGCTTGGTGAACATATATGTAGTTAAGCTAAGTGCTCATGCACGTACATGCATGCTCGGGTCGGGTCGATATATGTTATTAAGAGAAGCACTCATGTACGTAAATGTATGGTTGGGTATCTGTGTATATTGATATATATGTTATTCAATTAAATACTCATATACGTATATGCATGCTTGAGTATGTGTGCGTGTTGATAAATATGTTATGGAGGAAAGTACTCATGTACGTACATGCATGCTTCGGTATGAAGGTGTGTGTATATATTTCATT